ATGAAACCCATAAATTAATATTACATTATACAATCTATATGAAAGAAATCAGCCCCGGGCTTGGTTTCGAGGACGCCTCTCTCGGCGGCGGCGCGGCGGTGATCGTCCCAACCGCACCCGCCTCGCGACTAGTGCGACGCGCGTACAGTGGGTTAGATCCCTAGTCAACCCTGAGTGCACTAGCTGCGTCGTGGTAAAACCTAAAACTTTCTATTTAGGTCTTCTAATAAAGTATGTAAAAAGTACAAATATTGTTGAAAGACAAACACAACGCTCACAGAAATATTACATGTGGTAAATGTATATAATTTTATCTATACATATCAATAAAATTGGAGTGTCTGTTTGAAATATTAACATAACCGCTTTTTACTACATGCATATGAATATATATACGTACCGTATACAGCAAAGTAACATTTTTTACAATTTTTGTCTGTCTGCCTGTTTGTTTGTTCCGGCTAATCTCTGGAACGGCTGGACCGATTTTGACGGGACTTTCATTGATAGGTAGCTGATGATATAAGGAGTAACTTAGGCTACTTTTTTAGACTAGTTTCGCCCCGCGGTACGACAATAACCGGGGATAACATCGCAGGACTCAGCTATCAATAATAAAATTTAATGTTTCCGAAGCGAAGCGAGAGCGGGTCGCTAGTTAAATATATAAATTTAACAAAAATTTTTTTTAACACAACCACCGCCATATATTAGTTTAAGAGCGTTTATCGAAGGTTGCTGCTAGAAGGTGGTTGCAGTGTAGACCCCTGCTCCCTGCGCACTATCTTAGCCAGCCCCGGCCCGCACTCGCGGGTTGTGGCCGGCGTCGGCTCTGCGCGTCTACAGCCGAGTCCCCCTATATCTAATGGAGGCATTCATAATATGAAGGCTCATAATTTGCATCAAGTGTTCAACATTATAACAAAAACAATAAATATAAATTTTTTTGATTCTGAGTACACATTCTCGCGTTTGTAGTCAATTGTATAGATGAAAATATGATTCTCAGTCGTACGTAGAAGGGAGCGTGGTAATATTGACCGGCTCGAGGGAGAATGGGGAATTTCCATGACGGGAAACCCGTGAAGAGTAGCCATGTGCCCCGCGCGTATTCACACACACTTGTACTCAGCGAGAGGGAGGTCAGAGGGTGGAGGGAGTTGACAGACAATCATAATATCTGGTTTGTAAAGTTACCAGTAAAATCCATCTTTAATTCATATTTCAATAAATAAAGAGTAATTTGAAGGAAAAAATTCCAAATAAATCTATATATATAAAAATGAATTACTGTTCGTTGGTCTCGCTAAAACTCGAGAACGGTTGGACCGATTTGTCTAATTTTGGTCTTGAATTATTTGTGGAAGTCTAAAGAAGGTTTAAAAGGTAGATAAATTAGTTAAAATGTTCGTAATGAAATAAAAATAACAATTTTATTTTTCCTTTGATGTGTCCCCCGTCGGACAAATTCATTTTGTTTGTTTTAAGTTTTCCTTTTGTTTGTTTTGTTTATTTTATACAAAAGCTTAGGTCTTTTATTTATCGATTGAGGCACGAGTCTGCCGGGTCAGCTAGTCATTTATAATTTTATCTTAAAAGGATTATGCTATTAATATTCCCGTAATAAACAGTCCTGAGTTTCTGTCCAAATATCATCACACGTAGTCGTGGTTGAGACTCTTGAGGGAGAGAGTGTGACAACGCGCACGTCGCCGCGTCGCACCGCGCCGTGCCGCGTCGTGCCGCGCCGTGCCGCGTCGTGCACAACATGTCTGAGCATGTATTGAGAGCGCTATTAGCGGCCGGTCGTTATTCGTGATGGGCTTTTAGTGAAGTAGAGGGCGGCGGCCGTGACGTCACGCGCCCTGTGAAGGTTGCGCGAGCGAGGCCGCGACAAGACTCGTCCTATCGACTACATTACATCAGCAGACCCAAAATAGATCACGCTCCAGTTCCTCCCTCTACGAGTCGGTCGGTAGCCCCTCGTCCTCCGTCAATACTAGCTCGTCACAATTGTACTCCCTGACAACATCTACACATATTATGTACCCGATTTCATTTTGTCATTAAATGAAATTTGAAAAGCTTCAATTTGTGATGACAATTACCGCAATATGAATAGTCTTAACTAAGCGAAGTGCCCGGTGCCTTGTCTGTGCTTGTGTGCGGGTGCGTGTGTGCGACTGCGAGGGTGTGTGCGTGTTTGTATGTGAACATTTCGGAGTTTAGAAGAAGTTCAAACGAAACAATAAACCCCGCGCGGGCCGGCCGAGTTCTTTGATCGCAATGACAACGTTTATTTTGGCAAATTTATTTTTGGTCGACGTTTCACGGCCGCTCGCCGCAATCGAATGAACAAGATGGCGGACTGCATCATTAAGCATTTCATTGTAATCGCCATCTGTTATCATTTATTCCATATAAGGAACAAGAGTCTGGTCAGTCAGTCTGGTCGTCAGCTGCGGGAGCTGGAGCGAGGGGCGCGGGAGATCCAGTCGGAGCTTACCGTGTCCACAATAAAACATAAATTAGTTTGACTCGGCTCGACTTGACGTCAGCTCGTGGACAAAACACATAAACTGAGCCTGCATCGTCGTAAAGGTGGCGCCAAGAGAACTTGCCTAGTTATCGTGTCTACCCATTATTACCTTAATAATTAAGTGACTGTTTCAGTGATGTCAAAGCTTATACTGAGTCCAGTTCCTTTCTTATGTTACTACCTAATTGTCCCAATTAGTGTTGTTTTGCCTAATATTGCAGAAGAAGTTGAGACGTGGTAGCCGGAACCCACCTGTGGGAGGTGTACCACCAGGCCTAGGCACTCAGGTACTCGAAGGTCGGAACGTTTCAGTAAATACCATAATGCAATGTGCAGACACTAGATATTTGTGCATGGTCCTGGATTCCAATCTGTGAATTTATCTAAACTATCCATAATGTTTAATTAAACTATTGTTGATGCACAATCATTCAATAATTCTTATTTTAGTGCGACCTGCCGCCTGGTCTACTGGTCCCTACCAGTGTCTACCAGAGTCTACCAGTAACCAGGAGTCTACCAGCAATAAGGGTCGAATAGAATGGCGGCTCGCCTCTCCGCTTTAAGTTTTTCTTTGCGTTATGTCTATAGTTATTTGTCAGGATACCGGAAGTGTTGCGTGCGCTTGGACTTGTTTAAGGCGAGGCACTCAAACAGGATACAGAAATAACCTCTAACAAAGGAAGAAATACAGGATACAGAGGATAGACAATGCGTCTGCTCCCGACATCCTATCATCTGTTTTCAGTCTTCCAGTGTCAAATAGCTTTGATATGGACACAACAGAAGGAGCGACTTGAACACTGTTAAAGCAGAGTCTCGCCCGGAGCATACTACTGTTGAATGTGTTCAGGGAATAAACAGCACAGCACAGCACAGGGGGACGTGCCGGCTACGGTGAAATCGGCGGGTACTATTCTATTCTGTTTTATATGCGGTACGCAGCGGCTTGGCTCTGCCCCTGGCATTGCTGAAGTCCATGGGCGACGGTAACCACTCACCATCAGGTGGGCCGTATGCTCGTCTGCCTACAAGGGCAATAAAAAAAATATCTTTACATTTCAGATGACTGACGAGCCCCGGGCCCTATGTCCACCTGATGGTAAGTAATCACAGTAGCTCATAGGCATCAGCATTGACAGGGGCACAGTCAAGCCGCTGCCTCCTGCAAAGTTGTTTATTGTCATTGAGCATTTGATTTAGTCGTTGTCCTCGGCGGATGAGTCGTGCGCCGTCCGCTACCGGCAGCAGACGCATGCCAGACAGGAAGATATTTAGAGAAGTTCACGTGTACTCGCAGTAGGACGCAGCGTGAAGGCGAGGCGGCCGGCTCGGCTCGGTGCAAACAGCCGCGCCTCGAGGTCACGCACCCGCTCCCCTCGCATTACCACTGGATTTACTGCCACACGACCCCGTCGAGCCTCGTCTCGCGCGGCACAGAATACGGCTATCCGAGGTATACAATCTACTCCAGACGAAGACTGGCCTAATACGTACTTGTCTCCTCGGGAGGGACACTACCCGCGCCACGAGCCATCGCCATCAATAAAAGCGATGATGACAAGCCTCCGGACTCTGTTAATGTCCACTGAAACAACTCGCATCATGAGCAACAATACTACAATACTACTAGACACGAATAAGACAAGTAAAATTAATTCACAATTCATCTACAATTGGTTTGAACTTGAGCCTTTATTACTATGTAGAAGCCGTTCAATGGTTATATTGATTCACAGAAGTAGTGCGAGTACACTCGTGTACCGCCAAGGTCCGGAAAGTCCTGCAGCATACTAACAGCTAGCTCATCTGAGTACAGTATAACGTCGTCCGGTGACTCGTATCTACCGGCGCGGCGTGATTGTGTCGGTGCCCGAGCCCCGCAGGCGGGTAACAACCTTTCTGCTGAAGTCATTCGATTGACTTCCACAGTTCCACGGTGAAGGAATAACATCATGTAATAAACATGAAACCCGCAACAATTTTAATTTGCGAAATTACAGTGCGTCTTGTGGGGGCGCGGGCAGGTAGGTAGCCAGGTAGGTAGCCTGCCTATTTCTGGTGTAAAGCAGTTATAGTTTTCGGTTTGCAGAGTGGAGTATCGGTTATAATGTAAAAACTGAGACTTAGACGGTTGACGGTATTTGCTTTGTTATGTACAGATATGAGCTTCGGTGACCACTTAACACAGGGTGGGCCGCAAGCTCGTCGGCCCATCTAAGCAATAAAAAAACGTGAGAGTCGCGGCTACGTTATGTGTACATTAACGTATACATTACCCTACACATTATCGTATCGTTGAAATGTCCACTATTCTTATTCTCGAATGATTAATGACTCTTTTTAAGTAGCTGGCATTGTGTTGAGGTTATGGTACTGATGAAAAAGTAAAGTGAACATCAGGAAGGTCGTGAGCTAGCATTGAAATGAACGTAAAGGTGTAATGATTAGTTAAACTGACCGGCGTGATGCAGCGCAGTCTCGAAGGGCGCCCTCTGCACTCGATCTTTGCTCTCTGCGAACAAAAATAGAAATTAGTCGAAACTGTGCCAAGTGTGCGACGCGGCGACGCGACGACGCGGCGATGCGGTCACGGCGCAGCCTCGACGCACTCCGCGGGCCTGCGTGTGGGCTCTAGCAGCAGACCAGCCCCCGCCGGCTGCAGCGGCGTGAGGCGGGTGAGGAAGTCCTCACGTCTCGCGAGTAGTCATCGCAATCCTGGATTTTTAGACACGCAGACGACGTCTTTAACAAACACCAGCAAACTTCAATTTGAAAAATCAATATATTCAATGCCCAAATTCTAGCAGGTAGGATTCGCAGACGGCAACCACAGTTGTAAGTTAAGATCTAATTGTACTTGCCCGGCCAATACGCGAACACACCAGGCCGCGTGCGTCTTACCCATTAGGCCACGGTTGAGTGTATAATTACTATCGATGGTAAATCAAATCAAATCAAATCAAATCAAAAAAATTTTATTCAACATAAATGAAAGTACATACTTGTTGAACGTCAAAAGAACTACCGCTAATTCACAAGAACTAGCCTCCGTCCTGAGAAGAATTGGCAAGAAACTCAGCGGGCATGTCTTTTTTTTTACATATAAAATTATTATTTATTTATTTTTTAATATTATTATTTTTTTAAATATGAATTTTTTACACTGAGTATTATAACGTAACAATTACTACAATATTGAAATGCCTGGAGCGAGCAACTCATTCCCACTTTGTGCNAATTTTTTACACTGAGTATTATAACGTAACAATTACTACAATATTGAAATGCCTGGAGCGAGCAACTCATTCCCACTTTGTGCAATCTTCTAGATAATCATTGACTTTATAGTAAGCTTTATTGCACAGATGTTCTTTAATAGTTTTCTTAAACCTATGTATATGTAGGTTCTGAACATCATGTGGGATTTTGTTGTACAGGTAATATAAAAAACTCCAACTAAACAGAATCGACCTCTCTTATCTAACAAACAATCAATGAACAAGTATGTGTTCTATAAATACGTGCAGTCACATTTCACAGCGGAGCTTGTCGTATTTATTGTTATTGTCAATGTCAGGCGATCGTCTAGAGCCTCGTCTTAAGAGATTCGATGCTTTCAAATGTATTGTGTAATGTTTGAGATCATTTCCATAGTGGTCACATCATTATTTTACACACGATTATTTAATTGATGGCATTTCCTTAGATATTTTTGAATGTAATATCTCCTCAGTACAAGAGAGTGCAGTTGTGTCGACGTGTGCCGGATCCGGCGCGTCGGCCGGGCCCTCGCCCCGCGCACCCCGGCCTCCGGTTAGATGCATCCATATTATTAATATTACGAATGTTTTTTTTTGTTTTTGTGCTTTTGAAGTAAAACTTATTTAGGTGCATTGAATAAAATTTAACTCGCGACAGTTTCGTTGCTGCTAAAGAGAAAAGCGCGAGAGTGAGAAGATGACACAGCGTCTCGCGAACCCGTCGACCGTGGAGAGACGGAAAGAACAAAGTTAGCTATGTCGTTTCGCTAATACACAGCCTTTCCTATTATAAGAGCAATTTGATTTGAAGCTGAAAAATGAAGAAAACCACCGAACTGAACACCGCAAAAGAAGTTTCACGTCTGTCCCGTGCACCAAGTTGCCCGCGCAGCATTTATTTTGTCCTTTCACGTTTTCACGTCGCAAACCATGCAATGAATTGCCATCGTTGTAAAGGTCTAGAGAATTATATAAGTTACACCGTTTATAGTAAAAAACATCTCATTCCCACGGGTACTATGTTTTATTATCTTTAGAAAAATTACGTGATTTCAATTTTAAGAAAGTATTAACAATACTGCGGCTGCTTTAAAAAAATATCTTATTCATGAGAGAAACCATGTATTACAAAAACATTGATTTTCTCCATCTTTCACGTCGAAAAGTGACAATATATCATTAATTGTATAGTATTAGGTCCTTACATATGAAATTAGCGTTTTGTCGCACTGACCACTTTGATCTTTTTTTTTGTTGTCCTTATAGACAGACAAGCATACGGCCCACCTGATGGCGAGTGGGTACCGTCGCCCATGGACTTCAGCAATGCCAGGAGCAGAGCCAAGCCGTTGTCTACCGTAGAAATATCTCCTGAAATGTCTCCGTATCTGAAATATCTCCTCTTTGGTCAAGAAATCCAAATTGAAATTTATAAATTCATTGAGCTGGATGACGTTTTCAACGTTTTCGTTTTGGAAATTTCGACCTTCAGAACCAGCCCCATAGACGGTCGGAGACCAACGTGATAAATCAAGAATTATAGGCTATTGTGGAAGCGGATCCATTACAAAGCACTTCAGAGATAGTTGCAGGCTTCGGGGTAAATGATAAAACTGTATTAATCCATGTGAAGCAAATCGGGAAAGTAAAAAAACTTGAACGATGAATGAGTTGAGTGAATCGAACTTGCAAACGCGCGTCGACTGCTGTGTTACTTTGTTCTACCGACACAACAATGAAGGGATTCTGAATCGAATCATGAACCCTGGGGACCCAGCCATATCCCAGCCATATTAGGGCACTAAACGACAATTGACTCAGACAAAAGTTACTTGTGAGTGTTTGGTGGACTAGCGCCGGTGTCGGCACGGGACAGCTTTCTAAAATCTGGCCAAACGATTACGGCAGATAATATCTATTGTCAGTAAGTGCAAACCATGAAGGAAGAACTAGCTGCCAAACAACCGAGATTGGTGAATCGCTCTCGGCCCCTGCTGCTTCACGACAACGCAAGACCACACACTCCAAGAGGCTTGTGGAGAGTATTAAGCGGTAGGTAGCGGCTTGGCTCTGCCCCTGACATTGCTGAAGTCCATGGGCGACGGTAACCACTCACCACCAGGTGGGCCGTATGCTCGTCTGCTTACAAGGGCAATAAAAATATATATATATATATACTGCACTACAAACAACCACTAACTGAGATGAGCTACAATTGCAATGTCGGCGACATCTATCGCACTCCCCGGAAAACAAATTACCATTTTTTCCGGAATTTAGACAACTTCTTACAAAGAAAAAAATTCAACTCGGATGCGACAGTCCAAACCGCTTTCAAAGAGTTTATTGAGTCTCGCCGCCATGGTTTTTTTAGTAAAGGGATCAATGAACTAACTACCTATGAGATGGAAAAAGTGCATAGATAACAACGGTACATACTTTGACTAATTAAATAAATTTCACAAAAACGAAAAGAAATGACTTTATATTCCTCTCGTACAAGACGCCAATTTCATATGTAAGGACCTAATAATTATATCAGTAGTGATTTTTAACTCATTGACACTTCTCTGACAACGCCGGCGGAGCCGCAGGTAGCACCTAGTATATTAGAATATCGTATATACACACACATTATGTGCTGCGCAACGTCACGAACTATTGTACTTGTATAACCCGCCCCGCGTCGAGTAGTCGAGTAGTCGAGTAGTCGCAACTTAAACAATTGTTCGCGTGAACAAATTGATCCGTCTCCGGAGAGTTGGCTGATGTGTCTCCACATTCGATATGTCGCACGCTAATTACTGACGATCTGGAACATTCAGCGCCGCCACTCGCACTCGGCTGTACTATTTAATTAATCCGTCGTTCGTAATCAACACCAATAAAATGGATGCAGTGCGATCGTAACAGAGCCGGTCAGGTCGCGTCCGGCGCGGACCGCCATGATCCGATCGCATGGGATTCTGTAATGGTATGTGATTGATTCGCATCGACTGTAATGACGCTCGTCAGAAGATCAGTGCTGGCTAAGTTTATCGTTCACATCGAGCATAGTCATGTGTAGCCAGCGGTGGAACGAGCGTACGTGAGTTACTTTCCGCTTGTAACGCACTATAACTAGTTCCTGGTGGCAAGCAGCAGCCGCGGCGGCGGCGGCGGTGGGGGCGGCGGCGGTGGCGGCGNGTGGCAAGCAGCAGCCGCGGCGGCGGCGGCGGCGGCGGCGGCGGCGGTGGCGGCGGCGGCGGTGGCGGCGGCGGCCGGGTGTCGGTAGCGGTTTATCTATGTAATAACACGTCCACTACACGGAACAGATAACGTTCTCGATATTGCGCGACCGACGTCACGCGCCGCGCTCAGCGCTTAGCGCCTTATTGCTATATAATTGCGCAGATACAGGGCCGAGGCCGCACGCCGCACACTGTACGCCGCACACTGCTTGCCGCACATTGCACGCCGCACACTACACGCCGCACACTGTACGCCGCATACTAGACACTGTGACACTCTTACAGATCACCATGGAATATAGTAATTTTTTATTTAGTGGAATTCTAATCAAAATGTATTAAGAACTTAAATATTATTTATTGTAATTTAAAGAATCCGTCCGTTGGCGTTGTCCGCGCAGCGAGACGGCCGCTGCGTGCTTGTATCGCGCGCCGCGGCCGAGCCGACGCCGCGACGTTCTAGTCCCGCAGCCAGTAACAACTGTTTAAGTAAACACTGATCTAGCACGTGTTTTTTTTTTTTTCTTAAACGTTGGTTGGACGAGCTCACAGCCCACCTGGTGTTAAGTGGTTACTGGAGCCCATAGACATCCACAACGTAAATGCGCCACCCACCTTGAGATATAAGTTCTAAGGTCTCAGTATAGTTACAACGGCTGCCCCACCCTTCAAGCCGAAACGCATTACTGCTTCAAGGCAGAAATAGGCGCGGTGGTGGTACCTACCCGCGCGGACTCACATGAGGTCCTACCACCAGTAAAAGTATCGTGTTCACAAACCATCTTCGATAAAGGAATAACTTCGTGCGACAAAATGAGGCTCGCAAAAATATAAAAATTGCTAGTTCTGGGCAGCAGTGCTTGTGAGCTGCACGGGTGGGTAGCACCAACCCTGTCGACATTTGCTGTGAAGTAGTCGTTCGCTCCGCTCGGAAGGATCAGATGTTGTTCGAGTGAAGTCACGGCCTGATGTTTCAATCAGCTCCAGGAGTACCCAACTCCAGCTCCTCCGCTCATCCACTACAATCCATGAACACGTCCTTCTGAGCGACCGATTGTACTGCAGAGATGCGCAACGACTCCTATTAATGATCCTCATTAACCGCAGCGCTGTTCAGTTCTGCACAGCGCCCCCCACCCTGAGCGACTCTGCCTCTGCGACATACAATATGTCTGTTTGACGCTCGCTAGTATTCATTAAAATTTCGTAAAAGTCCGATAAGAGTGAGGTGAGCGACGGTCGCCGACCCGCGCCGTCCCGCGCCCTATCAGCGCACGCGCCTCTCCACGCGGGTCAGACCTCGTCTCGTCCACGTCGCACTCCAGTGCTGCAGTGGCCTCCACGGCTATTGTAAACAAACACGTGCCCTGTCTAATCTATGTACATATATAATTTATGTTACAGAATTAACATTTTGTTTTATGTATGTAAAATAAATAAAGACCTCTCGTGAAATTGAATAAATATATATATAGTATGTGTGGTGTGTGTATGTGTGTGTGTGTCTGTGATATAATTGATGTCGCTTCTTTGGCTGTGAGCTTGATCTAGGAGCGTCACAAGGACTCAAGAAGACCAGTACATGTATTTGGTGGCGCGCCACCATACTCAGGGAGTCGTTCGGTTTGTATGTAGTTAATTTCAGAAGGGGAAAAAGCTAGTGACGCCAGATATTAAACAGAAACCAGCTTCAAGTTCAAGTTCAGCCTTATGTGAGATATCGCTCAGCGCGGACGTTATCGCAACTACGAGTATATTATGTACTTACTACATGCTCGTAGTACAAGTTCGGTTGTGTCCTCTCTGCTCCACTTCACACACAACTCAACTCAACAGAGACTGTTAGTGACGTGTTGTCACTAGGGACACGTGTGAGTGTGTAGGCCGTAGCCGCTCGTAACCCGTAGCCCGTAGCTCTCCGTAGGACCCCTCTACGACGCAGCGGGAAGGTCTTCATTTTTAGGAATACCAGGTTATTTGATATTAATTTAAATAGTAAATAAAAGTAATACGTAAGATGACCCCTGACCGCCTCAAATCAGAATATTTATTTACACCACGATAAACCGATCTTGACTGACATTGACAGCATCTAATGTCCGAAGCGTCCAGTGCCGGAGCCGCAGTATCCGAGTCGTGAGCGTGCCGAGGGTGCGCCGTGTACCCGACGTCGCCAAGATGCATGTGGACAACACCAACAGATGATCCTCGGCGAGCATCCCTCACAAGCAACACATCTCACAGAACATAAATACTGGAACAGTACGTATCGCTACTTCTAAAAACCTCTTGAAAATGATGTTCTAGTAGTGGTAGTAGTAGTATTAGTTTAATATTATTGTTTAATTTCATTTAGTGAACTAGAGTAATTTCATCGACAAGAATAAAACAAATTACAAACTGCACTCGTACATAATATTATTGTAATTCGGATGTCATTAAACAAACGACAAGATGTCGAGTGCCGCGACTGTTGCCGCCGTCACCGGCTCACAATCAATGGCGGAACGTTCTGGAATAGTCTGTTAAGTCTAGAAGGGCCTTTACGCATGCTGCTAGAACACATTCCAATTATTGCAGCAACATTACAAAAACATACCGAGATGTCGTCCAAATATGAGAAACTACCCTCCGCGGGCCTTATTACGTTTATTGCGAACCTAGCACTGATCCGAGACTCGGGTCTCTCGTACTGTACAGGGTTTACAGAGTGTCGACGACCAAAGATACAACTTCTGCCCGAATATACGGTCTTTATTGCGATTTACTAGAAGTCAACAGTGAATCCACCAATCCACCTGCCTAAATAAAGCAACAGAAATAACGACGAGGGGTTATGAACAAATAGTTAACATTATCAAAATATGCAAGCAGGGGATTCAAAGAACTTTCTGTTGCAATTACACGTACGTACGAATCTCATAACAGTGAGTGAATGAGTTTGTTGTTTTAATTAATTTAAAGGAATAGCAGGTTATAATTAGAATTCTCATGGGTACACGGTGCGCGGGGCGAGGGTCGGGGGGCGAGGTGGTCTCGCGGTTGCAATAGAATATTGTTGTGCTACAATAATAACATCATGTAAATCTAAACATGACGAGGTCTGGCTCCGCTCGTCCGGTCGCAGCCAGGGGCGGCCGTCCACACCTCCCTCGACAGTACACAGGCCACTACAGGCCAGTACACAGGCAGTCTGTTGCAGGCCTACGTTAACCTAGACGTGTGAATGTGAATGTAATATAAGTCATATTTACCTCCGTGCTCCTCCATGAGTGCGACACTGATTATCACAAGACACCAAACCTAATTAACAAATTGTAACTTACAACTAATATCACACAAAGATAGTATTTCTCGTAACGGCCGCGATACACTCTGTTTGTCTGTCCGCTTTATCCCATTTGTATTAATTGACAGAATGTAAGATATTAAAACTTTAATTTGACTCGCGAACGATATTTTAACGGCATTTATCGAGGAGTGAATGTCGCGTCTCGACTGAACGTGCGTGCGGTCGCGCGGCGCCGGACACTGCGACTGCCGACTACTACTGACTGACTCGGTCGGTGAGTGTGTGTGTGTGTGTGTGCACGATGCCGCGATGCGTCGCAGCGAGCAGTCCGAGGGCCGGTGACGAGTGGTGACGACCACCAGCGACTGCCAAGTGCCAACACTCATGTCCATAGAACCGCCGCGCCGCAACACACACCACATGAGCGAACCGGATCGCGCCCATTGCGTCATTAAAACTGCTTCCACTGATAAATTCATTCAAGAACCGAGAAGGATTTTTAAACTAAAAGAAGTACTCATCTACAGTTTCGAAGAAATGACCCCCGTCTTGAGGTGTCAACTTACTCGTTATAGAATATATGTAATAAATACTGAAAATTATAAAAAAAAGGTATCAGTGTGAAAATTCTGGTATGAACTGTGAGACTGTGAGCTGAGACAGCACAGTTGAGCACAATTGAGCACAGTTGAGCACAGTGGACCGTTACAGCGTCACCCCTTCACACGTAGGTATGTCACGCCGATGACATTCTGTACAAGTACGCGGTATGTTAGTGTAGGTAGGTAGCTATAGGTTGTACATATTTGAGGTGAGCGAAATGTAGCTATCAGTAACGGTTCCGTTACTTTAATGAATTCTGAATATTAATGGCTCTTAATTCCTAAACGTATGTTCTTGTGTTGAACGTAACTAGCAGTCGCGGAGGGGTTGACAACACTCAGAGTGATCATGTATTTGCTCAAATGAGACAACGTTCAGAGCCTCGTCCTCGGGAGTGTCCATCCCTGTGCCTCGAGGAGTCAGGCGCCGCCTTCCCGCTACATTATAGCTCAGTGAGTTATGTTTGAGGGTACGCGTTGTCAGTCCGCGCGGACCGCCGCGCCGCGCAGTACACTGCGAAGAGTGCGCCGGCTATACAAACTCTTGAAATATTGAGGTCACGATTCAAGGTCACGTGGTCATGACCATGGACACTTAGCGCCTATCTAGTGCAGTAAATAGATAAAAAACAGATTAGGTATTGACAATCAATATCAAGTTTGAAGTGGGAATTTAAGATATGTCCTTTCAACCCGTACAGTCATAAACATATTTGTAATTTCATGAATTAAGTAGGTAAAATGTTTATTAAATAATAAAGGGTTCTGTGAAGGCACTAGACCTGAGGCGCTAGTCACCAGAGCACGGCGCCTGGATCAGTTGTGGCCGTGGTGGCGCCGCCAGCACCACACTTCTTCAAAATGTTGTGCTTACGACGGACGAGCGACCGACCTACAAGCCGCCGCGTTCGCCTCATCGCGCTCAGTGCGCTCTCGTCCGGCTACAGGCAACTACAGGCCTGCGCTAATAATGCTGAACGTTCTGAAGGTCACACTCCGGCTTCGTTTGATCTTCGACTACTTACAAATTTTCCTTCCCATATTAAGAACTTCTAAACGACCGGAACTCAGTTCTGAAACCTCGCGGCAATCTGATAATGAAAACTGAAAACACAAACATATCGTTTGAGAATACATTCTTAACATAGACATTAGTATAGTGTGTTTCTCTGTTAGCACTAGCGTTAGAAGTTATCGAGGCGATGTGCGCTTGCTCTGGATAGCGAGAGATAGGATGTCTGGCACACTCTATTTATTATTACTACTTGTTGCTACACAAAAACACAAAAAATAAGAGCAACAGTCCTGCCGCCATGCCGCGGCCGGTCTAAAAAATTTAACGTTTCTTTAAAAGTAAAAAAGTTTCCTAATCAATTAGTTCAATACTTACTCGTACATATTATTATATACACTGGAGCCCGTTTGTATATTGATGATAAAAAAACCCCGTGGCTCATTACAATCATAATTATATCCTGTTTCAACAGACAAACTTATCTTTCTTGACGGGTTTCCGTGTTCACTGCGAAGAATGACCCCTTTGTCATGACACCTGTATTCCAAGGAGTAGCCGCCGGAGGGCTTTGGGATTCTTGAAGTCGATATTACGAGCGGTGTGCTGAATATATATTTTAAGGCCTTTGTAGGCAGATGAGCATACGGCCCACTTGACGGTGAGTGGGTGCTGTCTCTCATGGACATCACCAATGCCAGCGGCAGAACTAAGTCGCTGTCTACCACTGAATACTCTCCCCGAGCTTCGTTGGAAGCAGGACATGTCATAGCGCTCTGGAAACCGTGAACTGTAACCCAAAGTGACTTCATGTGAAGAAAACCACCACAATGCGTCGCTGCGTTTATATGAATACCTACATGTATGTGTAGGTGCGTGTCGAGCGGCTCCACGTGGGCAGCGCGCGGGCTGGCTGCGGCGCCACGGCCACGATAAACTTAATAAATACTGAGCAGTACCAGAGTGTGACGTGTCGGACGTGTGCGGGACCGCTGTGGAATTAGTTCTCGTATGTGACGTCATCCTCCGTCTAGACGAGAGGCACCTCCTCAGAGTGACGTGTGTGCTCTCGCCCAGGCAACAGCTGATCTCATTCGACTCCACTATAATCGATAGCGACTGAACGTTACTGATGAATCGTATTGTATCGATCTGTATGGTATTGCTTCTGTGTTTGCAAATTAATCTCAGCAGCAGCAGCAGTAATAGTGAGGTCGAGCCACTCTAACGGCTTCAACTTGACTACGAACATCCGTGCAGTATCTATCTGTATTGACATGAAGCCTCGCACAGCAACAGAGCGCAGTGCCGGGTCCGACTGCGCGCTCCTGGTGTACGCGACGAGGTGGAACCCGCAGACCGGTCCCGCCCCGAGGCCACGCGGCGGGCATGCCGGGGCCGCGTGCGGAGTCCACAAACAATCAACTGTTGTCCGGCTTCTTGGACAGAACCCGCTGACGTCATCGCAGGGCTGACACTGATTTGCACTACAGAAAACCGTATTTTTCTGAAACTTTCGTTTACATAATAATATAGCATCAACTGGGCTCGAATCTCCTTGGACCAAATGAATTAGTCCCCTGCTGTTCCCGTATTTAATAATAGGACTATTCGCCGGTACATTTTTCCAAATACTACATATTTTACAAACTTCTACGGAATCATTTTCCACCAGAACAGCTTAGTGTAAATAAAACACGCAAGGATGATCATTGACAGGATGCACCCCCGCTCTACACATGTGCGCTGTGTAGCAATGGCGCCCCGCCACCGCGCCGTGGGGGTGCGGCAGCTGGGAACGTGACGTGCAGGTGAGATCTTGAGAGACATTGAGGAGATCGCGGGTCATGTCACGGTAACCATGGGCTCGGGTAGCAAGCTAACTCGTTCAGAGCAAATAAAGCATATATTTACCAGTGGCTCGTCTCGCGTGAAGCCTGGGACAAAATCATTTGTAGATACATAGGTCGTGTACGAGCGATACGTACCTACCTACTTGTAATGTGACCTCATTCTTTGGTAAACCTTAATTTTTGTCTCTACGCTTACCTGTTGTATAATTTAGCTTTTGTGTTACGTATGTAATTTGCATACAAATAAAGAATTTCTAACTAATTATAATAGCGAATAATAAATACACAACTCCGGAAGTATCTTGAGGATCGCCAGCTGATCAGTGACCGACAGTACAGTTTCCGACACGGTCGTTCAGCTGGAGATCTTCTTGTATACCTTACTCACAGGTGGGCTGAAGCCTTCGAGAGCAAGGACGAGGCTCTTGCTGTGAGCCTTGATATCGCAAAGACCTTCGACAGGGTCTGGTATAGGGCACTTCTCTCGAAGCTACCATCTTACGGAATCCCCGAAAGTCTCTGCAAGTGGATCGCTAGCTTTTTGGATGGGCGAATTATCACGGTCGTTGTAGACGGTGAGTGCTCTGATACCATGACGATTAATGCTGGCGCTCCACAAAGTTCGGTGCTCTCCCCCATGCTTTTCATCCTGTATATCAATGACACGCTGTCTATTGATGGCGTGTATTTCTATGCGGATGACAGCACGGGGTATGCGCGATATATCGGCCCTCAGAGTCTCTCTCGGAGCGCGGTGCAAGAGAGACGATCAAAACTTGTGTCTGAAGTGGAGAACTCTTTGGGGTGAGTCTCCGAATGGGGTGAATTGGACTTGGTTATAGATACAGATCTCCATACCGATCTGTTTGGAACGGAGTAGAGTACATCCATACTACCTGGAGCCACTGCGGTCATCCACAGTGCGTTTCCAGAGGTCTTTTTTGCCACGTACCATCCGGCTATGGAATGAGCTCCCCTCCACGGTGTTTCCCGAGCGCTATGACATGTCCTTCTTCAAACGAGGCTTGTGGAGAGTATTAAACGGTAGGCAGCGGCTTGGCTCGGCCCCTGACATTGTTGAAGTCCATGGGCGACGGTAACCACTCACCTTCATGTGGGCCGTATGCTAGTCTGCAGACAAGGGCAATAAAAAAAAGATATAAAATAATGTTGTTATCTACAGAGAAGCAACAGATTAAAAACAAACAGTTAGTGAACTAATCAACCTGGGACTTAGCACTGCCACTCAAATTTACTAACGTCTACATAATTACAAGCAGAGAGGTCTCATATTTTTTTTATAATTACAAAATGACTCATAAAGATATAATTAGGGATGTAAGTCCCGACACTACGACATACCGACGATGTAGTATGTATAACCTGACCGAGGGCAACCTCATGTCGGTCGAAGGTCTCATCAATAAAGACACGCATAATATGTCTCAAATAATTTCTAAGAAAAAATATATTATTATTTATTTTGTTTTATAGTTTGCTCCGAAACTGTTATCTATGACGTGTCTTGTGACCAGCGGAGAGTAAACATCAGACATCTGAAGGTCGGCGGTGCGCTGCCACTGTGCAACTGTGTAACCGTGACAGTTTGACGGTCCACACTACATGTCAGGACTTTCTTTACCTACCAGATTGCCGTTAAGTAGATATACAAAATATACATATAATTTTTTTTCAGCAATATTTTTTATTTCTATCAATCAAAATATACATATGGCATCGAAGCATCTGCCAGCAGCCAGTGCAGTGATTAGTTTTCAATACCCTTCTTGAAGTCATGTGTACCTACAG